CTACATCAACAAGAAGTGGGCAGGGCAGTGGGGAAGTGGGCAGGGCAGAGAGGGCTAGAGCACTGAAGAGAAACGTCCACAGCTAGAGGAAAAGGGAGGGCCAGGCAGAGGACACTGGAGGAACACAAAATTCCCCCTCTCTTCTTACTAGTTACAGTCGAGGAAATTCAACCTTTGTTTGGGGGAGGGGAGGAAGGTTTGAAGTCTCTGCCAGCTTCTGGTTGCTTTCAGTTTGGGCTTTACCCAAACTATAAAAAAAAAATCTCAGTTTCACTTTCAGCATTTCTCCAGGGTGAGCAAAACTCTTCAGTGGCTTCTGCAGCCATTCCCAGAACACCTGGGGGCTGGGGGCTGGGCTGGGCACTCTGGCGAGGCGTTACAACCTGCCAGCCAGGACATCAGCTTGATTCGCCAATAAGGATGATTCACCAATAAGGATGGCAGGTCCCAGTGCGATAATAGGGCCCTGGAGAGCAGCTGAGGGGAGGGTTCATTCTGCTGGGAGTAGCACAGCTAGGAGAGGATGTCAGGAAAAGCTACAAGGACCTGATTCTTAAAGGATGAGGAGTTCACTGGAGGAAGGGGGCCCTCCAGGAGGAGAGCACAGCACGTGCAAAGGAAAGGAGCTGTGATGGTGCCTGCTTAGGCTGGGCGTGTGGCATTCTGGGCACGGACCTTCACTGCTGAGCCCACGGGGCCCGACACGAAGTAAGTGTGCAGAAGTGTCAGTGAAAGAAAGGAAAGAAGGGTTCTGTCCTTGGGCAGCTTGTTGTTTCAATATTGATTGGACTACTTTTAGGTTTCACAGTAACCAGGATGGTTGAAGATGAAGGTTTAAACCTGGCTGGTAGAAGGCAGCAGGGGCAGGGGCTCTGCCTGGCCTCTCTCTGCCTCGCAATACCTCCCTAATACCTACTCACCTCCCTCTTTTATTTATTTATTTTTTGGCTGTGCCACGTGGCTTGTGGGATCTTAGTTCCCCAGCCAGGAATTGAACCCAGGCCCTTGGCAGTGAAAACTTGGTGTCCTAACCACTGGACCACCAGGAAATTCCCTCACCTCCCTCCCTATCCAGCAGTCCTGGGTGCAGTCTTGGCCAGAATCACAGTCCATTGCTTTGGTTTTGTTTATATACACCCATGTACGTACATCTACATATATATGTATTTTTATGATTATATGTGTATTTGTATGCATGCATATATATACACCCATACATATATATATATACTTTTAAGCGGTTATCAGGACTTGAATTGTTTTTTAATGATTTTCTTTCTTTTCTTTAATAAATTTATTTATTTTTGGCTGCGTTGGGTTTTTGTTGCTGGGCGCGGACTTTCTCTAGTTGCAGCAAGCGGGGGCTACTCTTCGTTGCGGTGCATGGGCTTCTCATGGTGGTGGCTTCTCTTGTTGCAGAGCGCAGGCTCTAGGCACGCAGGCTTCAGTAGTTGTGGCACGTGGGCTCAGTAGTTGCGGCTCAAGAGCACAGGCTCAGTAGTTGTGGCGCATGGGCTTAGTTGCTCCGCGGCATGCGGGATCTTCCCAGACCAGGGCTCGAACCCGTGTCCCATGCATTGGCAGACGGATTCTTAACCACTGCGCCACCAGGGAATTCCCATATATGTGTTTTTATATTAAAATTTTTTTATGTATTAGCATCTGTTTATGATGAGTCATCCTGGTTTTTCCACTTATGGAAGTCATAAAGAGTTTGCTTTTAAAATAAAATGTTTTAAAAAAGCAAGCTAATTTTTTTTATACATAAATTTATTTATTTATTTATGGCTGCGTTGGGTCTTCGTTGCTGCGCACGGGCTTTCTCTAGTTGTGGCGAGCAGGGGCTGCTCTTCGTTGCAGTGCGCGGGCTTCTCATTGCGGTGGCCTCTGTTGTTGCGGAGCATGGGCTCTAGGCACGCGGGCTTCAGTAGTTGTGGCACTCGGGCTCAGTAGTTGTGCCTCGCGGTCTCTAGAGCGCAGGCCCAATAGTTGTGGCGCACAGGCTTAGTTGCTCAGCAGCATGTGGGATCTTCCCGGACCAGGGCTCGAACCCGTGTCCCCTGCATTAGCAGGCAGATTCTTAACCACTGCACCACCAGGGAATCCCCAAGTGAGCTCATTTAAAGGCAGATACTAAGTAAATAATCGTGGGGATGGAAGGAGGATGGCTGAACTCTGGAAATGCCCAGTTCTGTCCCAGCAGGGAATGCTATCTGGCCTGGGAGTGGTGGAAGGTCCCTCGTGGAAACACCTAAGGGCCTGCTGTAGGACACTGTACCATTCAATCACTGAACATTTACCAAGTTCCTGCTGTGTGCCAGGCCCCACCCGAGAAGGGCACTTCAGACCTGGCCTTGATGGTGCAGATGTGTTCCAAGGAGGGGGAGGGAGCAGCCCAGCCTGGGCAGAGGGCCCACTGGGGCTGGGGCATCAGGGGGGCCAGGGATGGTGACAGTAATAAGCACAGAGCACTTCCTGTGCACCAGGCGCTGCTCTAAACACTTAGATACGTGAACATGTTTAAGCAGCACGAGAGACCTTTACAGACGGGAAAGCAGCACAGAGACCCTGAATAAATCGTTTAAGGTTGTACAGCTAGCCAGGGCAGAGCCGGGGTTTGAACCCAGGCAGTCTGGCTCCAGAGCCGCAGCTCTTCACCACATGCTCTTGACTCTCATAGGAAGGGAATCCGGGGACATATGGGGCCTGCCCTCTTCACCTGAAGTGAACATGGGGATCTAGTCCGGAGTTGGACGCGATCACTTATAGGGTGGTGCGATCAGCGCTCAGAATGAGGGGAGTTCTGGTGTCATGCAAGCCCCCAGGAGGCCTCCGGCCTACCCTGGTAGCCAGGGACAGTTCATGGGATTAGGCGACAGTTAACACTGGGTCAGGAAGGGGCAAAGTCCTGCAGGCAAGTGGGCCTGGTGGAGCGGCTGCGGCCTCTGAATGGGGGGTGGTGGGGTAGGGGGCAGGTCAGCTCTGACCCCTTGTCTCTCTCCCCAGGTACAGCACGTGGGAACCGGAGGAGCACATCCTGGACCCCCGCCTGGTCATGGCCTATGAGGAGAAGTAAGGGGCTCAGCCTGCCAGGGGGCTGGGTGGAAGGCGGGCGCTGAGGTTTCATAGACAGCTGCTGCTCGCTTGGCTCCGAACAGTGGTCACTGGGGGCAGGGGCCTGGCAGGGACTGCCGGGTCTCGTCCGCAGCTGGGGGAAGGTGCTGGGCACCAGGTCCCAGGGCAGCTGAGGGCCCTGTCCCTTTCCGGCTGCTGGGTGATGTCAGCCACCCCGCTAGCAACCCCAGGCCTCTGTCTCTCTGCTGTTGTAGGCCACCCCCAACAGCACCTGCCCCGATTTTCCCAGAAGGCAGGGGTTTCAATTGCCGTGAAGAAGGTGAAAATGGGCGTAGAGATGCCATGCGTGCGAGGGGCAGCAGTATTAATCATGCCCAGTGATGGGCCAGAGGGAGGTTCCCCCCTACAGATCCTCCACCAAGTTTGATGAAGCTCTCAAGAAAGGCCAGGGGAGGAAGTGTGGCTTTGGAGCCAGGACAGCTGGGTTCCGGTCCCTCCTGCTTGGCTACCTCCTAGCTGGGAGGCCGTGGGCAAAGCTGCCCCCAGGTCTCAGACTGCCGTGTCTGCCAGTGCTCTGCTGCAAGTGCTCTTCTGAGGGTTGCTTAGTGATTGGCAGCTCGTCCGATGGGCCGTGACGGCACACCTTAGCGGGGAGCTTCTGCCAAAAATGTTGTTTTTCCTGGTGGGAGGGCCTTTTGAGCATAACCTAGCCATTCCCTTCTGCTGCATGAGCCCCAGCGTTACCGGCCCCTTGCCGGCAGGCTGCCCAGTCTTTCTGCCTCTCCCCAACCCATCGACCCTGTACAGTGCGGGACCGTTTTATAAAATCATTTTTATTTGGTTCCTTTTAGCAACTGCCTGAGACAGGGATGAGGGTCTCATCTGACAGATGAGGAGACCGAGGCTCTGAAGAGCTAAGGGGCTTGTCCAGGGTCCTCGCAGCTGGGAGGCAGGACTTAACCTGGGTGGGGCTCCTGAGTCCCAGTGATGCTGTTCCTCTGCCCCTCCTCACCCCCTGCTGACCGCTTCTCCCACAGGAGGTCTCCTGCTGCTGGTTCAAAGGAAACATTCCCAACGCTCTTTCCTTTAAAAATCACAGTGTTCCTGTCCCACAGCTTCTTTCTGGTTCCCGAGTGCTGGTGGGGCCTTGATCCAAAAGGGTTGTGACACTGAGAGAGCCCTGTGGAATGTCCTGGATTGTGGTAAGGAGAGCATTGGGCAGGTGTCAGAGGCCTGGATCAAATCCTGGCTGTTCCACTCACCAGCTGTGAGGTGCTGCACAGGACCTTTTTCCTCTCTGAGCCTCAGCTTCTCTGTCTGTGAAATGGGGAGAACAGTGCTGACCTCAAGGGCTCTCATGGGGAGGAAAGGCGTGTGAAAGCACTCCGCAAACCATTAGGTGTGGGCACACACGGGCAGATGTCTTCCTGATGGTAATTAGGGGTCAGCTAGTTCATTCTTTCATTTGTTCAACAAATCTTTATTGAGGTCCTACTGTGTGCCAGGCACTGTTCCAGGGACTGGGGCACAGCAAGGAACAAAACCAACAAACGTCCCTGCCCTCGTGGGGCTTACATTCCAGTGCGGGGACCTGCAGTGAAAGGTACACCAGTAAATGTATAGACGCCGACGCACTGACTGCTGCACAGACAGGTCGGGACGGGGCCGCTGCTTTCAGTGGTGTGGTTAGGTGGTGGCGTTTGACCAGAGACCTGAGCTAAGTGAGGGAAGGACCCCAGTAGGTATTTTAGAGAAGACCATCCAGGTGAAGAGCACCCAAGAAAGTGATGCAGAGGCCCTGGGCTGAGGAACTGCATGGAGGCAAGCGTGGCTCTGAGTGTGGCCAGCCGGAGTGGTGTGAGCTGGGCAGGGGTGGGGCGTCTGGGGGAGGGGCAGGGGCGGGGCAGCTGAAGGAGTGGGCGTGCAGCTCAGGGAGGGCCCCCGTGAGTCCTGGTAGGGGATTCGGGTGTTGCTTTCAATGAGTCAGAAAAGTCCGTAGTTAAGGAACAAATGAGGAGCTCGGGGATTTCTACAGACCCACCGTGTGATTTGACTTCCTCTTTCTCTCTGGGTCTTGGTGAGAAGGAGATGGAAGCGGGGTGACGACCATTTTAACACCTGCTTTGCAGGCTTTTTAAGAGACTCAGAAGGAGTCGGGCCAGGGGGCTCTAATGGGGAGTCCCTGCATCCCAGGAGGGGCCAGTGGGGCACTGAGGGCTTGTGGGACCACGATCCCCACAGCCCGGGACACTGATGGGCCCTGGGTAGGTAAGGACTGGACAGAATGGAAGCTCCCTGCACCCCCCCCCTCCCCCCAACTCCCACGGTTGCAGGGCAGGAGTGGGGGTGCTACAGATGGGAAGCCAGGTCATGTGGCCTGGGCTGCAGGCCTGCCCCCCGGCCCTGACTGGGCCCCCAGGCCTGACCTCGCCAGGCCTGGAGCCCAGAGCTCAGCATCTTCACTAGTGGCAGACGTTGTCAGAATTGTGGCGTCGGGCAAATGGCTTGACCTCTCTGTGCTCTGGCTATAAAATGAGGACAGAAAATGTGCCTCCCTCACAGGGTGGCTGTGAGGGTTAAAGCATTGAGAGCAGTGCCTTGTGCAAAGTGTGCAGGACATAATAATAAAAATAATAATAAATAACACTTATACAAATATAATAAAGACATATTATTCTTTTCCCTCAAGGCCCTTTCCTTTTTCCCTCTCTCTACTTCCTCCTTCTCTTCCTCTTTTTTGTTTTTCTTCCCTCTCTCTTCCTCTTTATTATTTTAGTCTTTCTACCCCCCATTTTGAGAAATGCCGGGCACCTCTCTCGCTTCTCCCAGGGGCCCCGGGGACCAGCTGAGAAGGGAAGCTCTTTCTCCAGACTAGAAAACTGAGGGCCAGAGAGGGAAAGTGACCAGCCAAGGTCTCCTGTGGGTCAGGTAGAGCTGAGCCTGGAACAGGGTGTCCTGGCGCCCAGCACCGGGCTGTGAATTAAGGTTCTCACCCTCCAGGGCGAGAGGCCTGGCTTGGTGTGGGTATCCCACGCCCTGGGTGCTTCTCTCGAATGCTGGTTCTAGGGCCCCACGGCAGACCTGCCGAAGCTGACTCCGTGGGGAGGGAGGGAGAGCCCTCCCCCCAGCGTCCCTGGAGTCTGATGTCTGGAAGGGGGTGGCAGCCACTGCCTCGAGGAGGGACCAACAGTGGAAACAGTCTCCACGGATGCACTGGCTTAGCTTGGCTCAGACTGAGAGACTGGACCAAGGCCGCAGACGGCATGAGTGGAATGAAGTGAAACAGAACGAAACTACTTTGAATTGTCCCATCACTTCCAGCACATTGTTGGGGTCTCTGGCGTGTTGTCTGGTGTGTGTGTGTGGCTTTGTCTGCGTCCTCAGGTTGTGCCTTGTGTGTTTGTGATGGAGGAAGGCATCCGGCAGAGAGTCTGGCATCTACTGGGGACTGAATGCAGGCTAGTTTTTCTCCCCTTCCCCAACCAGATGATACAGACAAATGGGAGCCTGTCCTCCCCACCAGGTTCGTGGAGATGCCAGACTGGGGGGGAGATCTGGGCAGAACTTTGCTTGCGAAAGGACTCGTGGCCATTCTCATCAGTCCCCCTGGGGCATTCAAGGCAAATTTAATTAACAGGTTTTTGTAGACATCTCCTAAGCGTGGAAACTGGAACTACATTGTTTTGGGGGCTGTTCCCAGTGCATGTAGAGAAGAGGTCTGGCATGACCCTGGGGCTGTGAAGACCCACATATTTTTGGAGATGTCCCCCGAGTCCCACCTCTAGCAATTGGGACCAGTCGCTGTGCCCTCACCTTTAGTCAGGTGGGAAGATGCAGCCCTGGGAGTTGAACACACGACCCCATTGTTATGGTCTAAAGTGAGGAGCCCTACCCCAGGATTAGGGGGTGGCCTGTGGAGGGTGTCCCCCTCCCCCATAGACAGCAGAGAGCTGGGTGGAGCGGATGCCTTACTTTCCCTTAAATGTCAACAGTGTTTCCTTTTGTTCTGCCATCTGCTTTGCACCCCAGGGAGGAGAGAGACCGAGCATCGGGGTATAGGAAGAGAGGTCCGAAACCCAAGCGGCTTCTGCTGCAGGTAACCCCACCAGCTCTGGTGCCCGCCCACAGGGCCCCCTTGCTCCTCCCACCAGCCCCTGCCCATCCGTGCATTTGCACTGGATAGTTCTGCGGAACCACTAACCCTCCTCGGCTCCACCCAGGACACTGTGGGGTGGGGCGGGGCACTTAGTGGGTAAGTTTCAATGGGAGGAGTTGGGAAAAGTCAGAATGTGGGGCTGGTGCCCCTGGAAGACACCGTGGGTGGAAGGTTCTGTGGAGGGAGGGAGGGTGGATGTATGGCTTACGGGATCCTAGAATTTTGAAAGCTTAGAATCTTGATGCTCCAAGTCCCCAAAATACAAAATTGTAGTATTTGAGAATCTTAGAAGCATAAACTTTTGAGGGAACAGGGGCGTCTGGAATTTTAGAATCCAAGAAAAGGAGATTCATAGAATTCTGGAACCATAGCCTTGGAATGGTCTAGAAATGTATCATTTTTAAATTATTTAAAAAAATTTTTTTAATTTATTTTTTATTATTATTTTTTTAGCTGCGTTGGGTCTTCGTTGCTGCACGCGGGCTTTCTCTAGTTGCGGCGAGTGGGGGCTACTCTTCGTTGCGTTGCGCGGGCTTCTCATCGCGGTGGCTTCTCTTGTTGCGGAGCATGGGCTCTAGGCGCGTGGGCTTCAGTAGTTGCAGCACACGGGCTCAGTAGCTGTGGCTTGGGGGCTCTAGAGCACAGGATCAGTAGTTGTGGTGCACAGGCTTAGTTGCTCCACGGCATGTGGGATCTTCCCGGACCAGGGCTCAAACCCATGTCTCCTGCATTGGCAGGCGGATTCTTAACCACTGTGCCACCAGAGAATTCCCTAGAAATGTGTCATTTTGAGTGAGAAGAAGCCCTCTGCCACAAGACTGGCAGCCCGTGTTACCCAGGTCTTGGGGGCACTTTGCTACTTTCACTGGTTCGCACTGAAAAGAGGATGGAGTCTGAAGTGATGTAGTTATGTGATTTGAGGCAAATCTCTGAGCTTGAGTTTTCTCATCTGTAAAATTGGGATGATAAGAATACCTGCTGTCCTTAATTTAATAAGGCCCACCCGGGAATTTGAAGCCAAAAAAGAAGGCTTCTTGGTCCACGTGCAGTGTGAGCCATGTCCAACCTCCTGTCCATTCCATCGAGAGTCACACAGCTGGATTAAAACCCAGATCTGAGTCCTGGTGCTCCTGGACCCGTTAGTTAGTAGCTGTAATTCTCTCATGGTGAGGTAGAGAAGGACAGAACTGTATGAGAGTTACGAGGCCTGTGATGGTATACGAGCCAGGCTGAAGGGGTGGGTTTTGATAAAGCTGCATATGGGATAAGCCCTCTTAGCACTGCAGTATCTTCACAGTCTCCTCCCAGTTCAGCTCTCCTCCCATCACCATGACAACCTGCACCCCATGCTGAGTGATGGGGATTAGCTGGTGGGACTGAGGAATGGAACTTGCGCATGTGATCTCTGCCCCCAACTGGAGATGTTTGACCTACAGTTCCTATCTGCTGGCCCTCACTCTCTTCCTGGGAACTCTCGGCCTCTGGTGACAGGTAGCAGGAGAAGCTACTGTCCCGGAGTGACCCAGGCCCCCCCCAACATCTTAGCACCAAGATCTTTCTTGGGTTTGTATAAATTTCCCCCAAAAGTCAGTAAGACAAATGCACAAATTACAAAACTTCGGTCTTTGAATGGCAGAAGAATGTGCCCTCCAGCCCATTTAAGCAAGAAGGAGGCGGGGCAACAGACGTCTGGGCCCAGCCAGGGCCACCCTGCGGCTCAGAGCCCAGGAGAGTGCTGGGGGAATCGAGGGGTGTCTGCAGGCTGCTGGCAGACCTTCCTGTGGCTGGGTGCCATGCGTACCCCTGGCTAACTTTTCCCAGGAAGCTTCAGAGCCCTGTGCCTCACACCATTTCCCTAGCGAGCTGGCCGTTCCAGCTTTTGGGGGTTCTTTAGAAGCAAAGATTCCTTCCCTGTGATGAAGAATAACTCCTTAATTTATCTGCCTCATAAATGCAGGTGTGTTTTTTTGTTGGTCAGTTTTCACCTTGTACCGCTTGTGTGCCTCTGCCATGGACCAAAGGAACGTGCCCTGAGGCCCCGTCCCTGAGCCACTTACAGGGCCCTGGGAGATGAGGCCGCGCCGTGAGGCCTCTTGGCTGAGCTGGGCCAGGCCCCGGGGCTGGGGCTGGTCAGGGGGAGCGCTCTGGGCTGGGGTGAGGGGCGGGATGCCGGCTGGCTCTGAGCCCTGAAACACGGGGAAGAGGACCCCGGGCGGGAGGGCCAGCACGAGCAAAGGCGCGGCAGTGGGTGGGAGGGCAGGGCTGATCCGCCGTGCCCTGGCTTGCCCCCGCAGCGGCTGTACAGCATGGACCTGCGGAGCTCCCACAAGGCCAAGGGCAAGGAGAAGCTCTGCTTCTCCCTGACGCGCCCACTCGGCAGCGGGAGCCCCGAGGGGGTGGTCAAGGCGGGGGCACCCGAGCTGGTGGACAAGGGCCCCTTGGTGCCCACCCTGCCCTTCCCGCTCCGCAAGCCCCGCAAGGCCCACAAGTACCTGCGGCTCTCACGCAAGAAGTTCCCGCCCCGCGGGCCCAACCTGGAGAGTCACAGCCATCGACGGGAGCTCTTCCTGCAGGAGTCAGCGGCCCCGGACGTCCTGCAGGCGGCCAGCGAGTGGGAGCCTGCTGAGCAGCCCCCTGAAGAGGAGGGTAAGGCGGCCCAGCCCCGAGGCTCAGACCCAGGGACCCTCAGAGCTGGAAGGGTCCCTTGAGTCATCAGGTCCAGCTGGTCCAGTGCCCAGAGAGGGCCTGGGCGCTCCTGAGGCCACATAGCCTGCAGGGACCCTGGCACCAAGCCCAGAGCTCTTTCCGTGGTCCCACTCAGGATGAGTTCGTGTCCAGCCAGGGAAGGTACATGTAGTGACGTCTTCCTGTGTGTCCAGCCTTGAACTAGGCCCTGACCTGGCTGGAGACTCAGAAGAAGATCAGGTGTTGGGGGTGGGGTGGGAGGTGGTCGACAAGCTGCCACCCACGCCCACCTTCCCCACCTCGTTGCCAACGCTGTCCCCCGTCTGTCTGTGTGTCTTTGTCCCGTGGCTGCAGCAGATGCAGATCTGGCCGAGGGGCCCCCCTCCTGGACACCCACGCTCCCCTCAAGTGAAGTGACAGTGACCGATATCACCGCCAACTCCATCACCGTCACCTTCCGCGAGGCCCAGGCAGCTGAGGGCTTCTTCCGAGACCGCAGCGGGAAGTTCTGAATCACCATTTTTACTCTTCTTCAACTGTTTTCTTTTGGGCTTGGGGTGGGGACTTCCAGAAATGGGGAGGGGTTGGGGTGGGTAATTATTTTATTTAAAGAAACATTGACGAGGAGAAGGGGGGAAGATCCCAACACTCTCCCACCGCCCCGCCCCTTTCTCTGTGCGGACGTTTACAGGGCAGCCTTGGGTCTGTGTCAGGGCTGGGCCTGGGGAGGCCTGGCACTGCTCTGTCACTTGGGGTACCATCTCCAGGGTAGGATGGGGACAGGACCAGCCTCCCCCGGACACCTCCATCACCATTCTTCTCTAGAGAGACAACAGCTGGTCCCCAGGACTAAAGGAGGATGGGAAGGCCCGAACCCTCCCCTTAAGCAGCCCACCCCAGCCTTTCTGGTTGGTTTCCCCTTTGCCTTTTTGTGTGTGTGTTTTTGGGGAGGGGTCTTTATTTTTAAATTTCCACTCCAGCTTTGCGGGGGGATATGGAGGCTGGCTTTGACCAGAAGTGATTGGGTCACAGAGCTAAGGGGCTGGGAAGGGTTTGAGATTGCTGGGCACGTCCCACCCCTTCAGAAAGGTCTCTCCTTTCCCCTGGGGGCAGCTGCCAGCTAAGCCCCTTCCGCTGAGAGCTACCCGCCCCAGCTCCATCGCCTGGCCCATGCAAACCGCTCACTTGCACACCCAGCCCCGCAGGTGTGTGCACACGGCCCCTCGCGCCCTCATGACTGCATGCACCGGTCCGCAGACGTGTGCAGTGGGTCTTGCAAGCCTCCTGACCGGGTGGACGGGGCGGGGTGGTGGGGGGAGTGATTCACAGCAAAGAAGAGCTTGCTGTAGGCAGCCCCGCTCATCCCACCTTGCACAGCACTTCGCCTGACAGGACCTATCCGAGTCAGCATGGATAGCTGTCAGTGGAGGGCAAGGCTCCGGCCAGGGGGCAGCTGGATGGCCTCCGACGCTCCAGGCGTGCGGATGAAGTCTTGTGGTGTCACCTGGGCAGCCACGGGCGTGCAAGCGTGTGCATGTGTGCTGTGCACCGGCGCGAGCTCTGAGGCACTTGTGCCCTGTCCCCCCACCCCCGGGGCTCCTGTTCTCTCTGACTCAGGTGACTTTCCAGCCCTTCTGTCTCCCCTCTTTTTCTGCCCTCCCCTTCAACTCAGCCAACCAGACATGGGCGTGGGTGGTCAGGGAGGGAGGAAGCGTCCCACCACCTTCTCAGGGCAGCCCCCGACTCCTGACACCCTTCCTCCTTCCATTCTGGGTCTCCCCCGCATCCACCCTCAGTGCTGCAGCTGGGACTAACCTTGTTTCTCTGCGGCGGGACCTCTGCCATGTCTTCCTGTGGTCGGGCTGTAGTGGGTGATGGGTCAGGCTGTGCACGAGCACCCCACCCTGGCAGGGGCCTGTGTCTGCCAGAAGAGGGGAGCTCTGTTTCTGGTTTGCACAGACGTGCCCTGTGGACTAGTGGCTCCCCTGGCAGTAAGGAGTGACTTCTCCCCTATCCTGGTCCTGCAGGGGAGAAAAAGCCAGATTGGGGGTGGGCACCAGGGGAGCAAGTGAAAGGCTGGCCCCCTCGCCTCTCCCCATTGTCAGACCAGGCACTCAGGTCCCTCCCCCAGGGCTGTCTCCATGCTCTGCTTTGTCCTGAGGAAGTGGGCAGAATCCTGCTGAGGCTCGACTAGGGCAGTTCTTACCCCAGACCCCTTCTTCCCAAGTTCCCAAACCAAAGACAGCCTGCACCCCATTTTTGTTTGGGGTGCCTTGCTGGCAAGATCCCAGATCCCTGAGTGTCTGTCTCCCCTTCCTCCTTAATCCTTCGTTGTCCAGGGTCAATTCAGTGCTTCCATTGGGGGATGGCTTCCTCCCCCCCACCCCATGACTTGATTCACCCCCAGGCTAGGGGGTTGTGTCTAGGGGAGTCTGGGGGTGGACCAGGGAACGAAGGGGCAGTGGGGAACCTCCCCAGCTACGGGACCCTGGGGAGGGGAAGGGCAGCCTGAGTGGGAAGCTGTCCCAGATCAACAGCTCCCGGCAGAGGGGTGGGTGGTGGGCAGGGATGTCGCACTGACGGAAAGCTGTGGGCCCTGGCTTGGGACTCGGCTGGCTTCAGCTTCCAAGAGAAGCCACACTCCGCAGCCCCCAGGGGACATGTGGCCTCCTCCTGCCTCACTTTGAAGAGCTGTTTGTGTAGTTTGCGGGTCTGGGGCCTCTCTTGTGGGATGAGGCAGCTGCCACAGAGGAGCACTTCTAGCCTCTCTCTCTCAGCCCTTCACAGCCCGCAGGGCACCCTGCTCTCTGGAGGGCCGGACCTGGGAGCGGAGGCTCCCTGGGGGAAGGGCTGCAGGCTGTTAGGACCTTCCTGCCCAGGACCCAGGACGGTGACCTCTGTGAGGGGCTGGAAGTGGCCTTGCAGGACTCCTCCAGCCCTGAGCGTCCCAGAGGGCCTTGGGGTGAGAGGGGGCAAGGTGGGCACGACCTCCCACCCCACTGCCACCCGAGAAGGCCAGTACTCACTTGGGGGTGGGCGTTGAAAAGGTTGGACCACCTGCCTTTCCTTCCCCCAGCCCCACCTGTTTTGAATGTAGAGAGACCGGTTGGTACTTTTCTTTTGCTGTGGGGTGGGGCGAGGGGCATATTCTCCGCCCGTGGCGCGGCCACGCGGGAATCACCGCCGCTCTTAGGATGGTGGTCCCTCCACCAGCTTCCCCCTGGCTCCTGCCCTGGGGGAGGGCGCTTGGCTTGTCAGGTGGTTTCGCTTTTGCTTTATAACTGGCCAGCCTGGCCTCCGGGTCTCAGCACAAGAACGCTTCCTTTGCACAGAATGAGCGTCGAGCTTTGTTCAGACTAAATGAATGTATTTGGGAGGGGTTGGGGGCGCGAGTCAATTCCAAGCACACGCCGTTTCAGAGTGAGTGTGTGCGGGGAGAGCTAGAGCAGATGCAGAGCGTGGTTTTATTTTTGTACTGATATTGGTAAGAGACTGTATAGCATCTATTTATTTAGATGATTTATCTGGTAAATGAGGCAAAAAAATATTAAAACTACATTAAAGATGATTTTAAAAAAAAAAGCTCTTGGGCATCTGATCATTGCTTGTGATGGTGTCACAGCTGTGCCGAGAAAAGAGCTGCAGCCCTGGGGGTGAGCCCTCCAGACCCCCCAGAGCCATCTTGGCAGTACATGGGGCTGGCGCCAGGTGTCCTTGTCAGCTTGCCAAATCCTGAGACGTGGAGATGCTCTCATGTCCATACATTCTCCCTGTCTGGTTAGTTTTCCCCTCGAAGTTGCAAACCCTCAGATCCAGCCCCACACGTGTTCTTGACACTCCTGTTCCTGTGTGTCTGTGGGTCTTGCACGTCTTCCGGTGGGTAAGTTATTTCCTCCTGGGTACGGAGTGTGCTCCCCTGCCTGGTCAATGCTGGGAAAAGGAGGGGGAGGCGAAGGTGAATTGAGAAGGAAACGTGCGATCTTGAGGAGTATCTGCCTCAGGTGAAGCCCTTACTTGGTCACCAGGTAGTCAGCCGTCTTCCAATGCCAGCCAGAGAGGTCAGGGGATTCTGGTGGTCAAGTTTCTTGGGCCCTTTATCCCTAATGTTTTCATCCCAGGGCTTCGAGTTCTGCCTCTTCCCTGTTGGCGCTCAACTTAGCATAAGAGGCCCATGAGGCAGTGTGTTCAGTCTCCTTTGCAGATCTTTCTCTCTTACAACTAACTAACAGGCCCCATGGCCAGCAGGATATGCCCCGTGGGTGCAGGAGGTCAGGGGCTCTTTAAACACTCTCATAAATAAAATACAAAAACAATATATGATTGATATACATACATGGAAAGTAACTCTACTTTCCAAAACAAAAAGAAACCTAGAAGAGGGCTTCCCTGGTGGCGCAGTGGTTGAGAGTCCGCCTGCCGATGCAGGGGACACGGGTTCGTGCCCCGGTCCGGGAAGATCCCACGTGCCGCGGAGCGGCTGGGCCCGTGAGCCATGGCCGCTGAGCCTGCGCGTCTGGAGCCTGTGCTCCGCAACGGGAGAGGCCGCAACAGTGAGAGGCCCGCGTACCGCAAAAACAAAACAAAACAAAACAAAACGTAGAAGAGGCCTTCTGGCTTTCACAGCATGGCCTGAGCGGGTAGTGGGCCGACCTGGGGCTGCCATTCCCTTTATTCAGGCTTTTACACTGAGCCGACTCTATATTCAGGGCTAGAGCTGTTGTGTGTCCAGTGCTTCGTCTGCAGCCCGTCCCAGTGCACAGGTGTGGTGAGGCCACAGCATGTCAGGGATTATCCCAGGGTCCCTGTTGCTGTCTGGTGGGGGATTGGGTTGCACATCCCACCCTGAAGATCCGTCTCTGAGACCCACGTGCAGGACCTCTGTCTTAGCTTCGGTTTCTCTTATGGGTTGAATTGTGTCTCCAGAGCCAGCCCCACCCCCTCACCTCCCAGAATTCATATGTGGAAGTCCTAACCTCCAGTGCTTCAGAAATACGACTTCATTTGGAGATTGAGTCTTGACAGAGGTAATCAAGTGAAAATGATACCATTAGGATGAGCCCTAATCCAGTGCGACTGGTGGCAAATTTAGGCTCAGAGACAGAAATAGAAGGAAGGTGATAGAAGAGACATGGGAGGAAGATGGCCATCTACCAGCCAAGGAGAGAGGCCTGGAACAGATCCTTCCCTCACAGCCCTCAGAAGGAACCAGCCCTGCCAACACCTCGATCTTGGACTTCCAGCCTCCAGAACTGCGAGAACATAAATTCCTGTTGCTCAGGCTGCCCAGTCTTAACTTTGTTACAGCAGCCCCCGCAAACTGCTACCGCATCCATGAGAGCAAGAGTCTGGGACTGGGCTCGGGTGCAGGTCTGAGACTTTATTTTGGAGGTGGGGTAAGGACTAGGGACATTACAAGGACTCCGACATTATTTTTCAAATGGAAGCCTGATTGCAACACGGCACAGCTTGTGTGAGGGTTCTGTTTTCCCCTCCCATCTGCACTGTATCCCCTTGAATGGTTCCTTAAGCTTAGACCAAGGTGAATGGTGGACCCTTGAACTCTAAGAAATAAAAATCAAAACATGTCGTTAGTACTATATTTTCCTTTGCTTAGAACTTTAGTATATTAGATGTAGGGAGAGCCTTAGTGATCGTAAGATAAAGAAATTGGGTTCTGAGTGAATGTAGTCAGCTGGTTCAGTGTTCTTGTTTTACAGATGAGAAAATCGACAGTGCTAGTTGAACTCTTTTTATAAGAGGAAAATATGGCCTCATTTTAAATAAAAGTAAAGTTGAAAAAAAAACCAAAAAGTCCTTACTCCTAGGGGGCCGGAGTAAGCACTGGGGAGAGAGGGACAGGGAAGGAGGAAGAAAAGCCAGGATAAGGTGTGTCAGTGAGGTTGACGCCGTGGGCAACAGGGGATTGATTCCACTCAGACTTTGTGAGAAGCATTCCAGTGCCCCGCCCCCAGCCCCCTGCAGATTGTCACCCCGGAGGACCGGAGACGGGAGTGTTTATCTGCAGGCTCCTGTACCTCATTGGCAAGGGTCCCAGGGTCACTGACTCCCTTGTACCTAGGAGCTGTGTTCCTACAGAGGTCAAGGACATCAGAGGAGTCCGCGGGGCAGGAAGTGAAGATGGGCCATCTACCCTCCACGGCTAAAATCAGAGAGGAGGGCGAGAGGACAGGAGCTGAGCAACCAGAAGGAAGAAAGACGATCCAGTCAGTTTTTCGTTCTGAGTTTAAAGTGTTGGTGGGCACATAAGTGGTAGATAAAGCCACAGGGGTGATGGCAGGGGTCCAAGGTCAGGGTTGGTTGGGAAGAGGCGAGAAGGCAGTGGGTGGGCGAGCTCCTGCTGCCTCTTAGTTCTTGCCTGGGAAGAGTCTGGCCTCTTCCCTGGCAGCTCCTTGATGACTCCAGTTAGAGACTGGAGGACTTAGCAGGCCTTGCCCTCAGCTCTGAGCCGTCACCCTGATTCTGGGTCCCCAGGAAAAGTCGCGTGGGACCCTGGTACAGTGCGCAGCCTGACTCTCAGATGTGTTACCTGAGCACAACCTTCTGTGGTGGCACCGTTACTGCGCCCACTTTTATGCGTGGGACAAACAGAGAGGGTGTGGTTAGCTATTCAAGTCCGCACAGCCAGATCACAGGGAGCCAGGAATTTGAGCCTGTGTCTCAGTATTAATCTCTCCACAAGCAGTTCTCAAACTCTTTGGTGTCAGGACCAGTTTAGAGTCTTAAAAATTATTGAGAAGCCCACAGAGCTTTTGTGTACGTGGGTTATATCTTTCAATATTTACTGTATTAGACATTAACATGGAGAAATTTTTTAAATATATATTCATTAAAAAATAATATTGACCTATTACATATTGATATAAATAATATTTCATGAAAAATAATTACATTTTCCAAAACAAAAACAATTAGAAGAATTGCCATTGTTTTTTTTTCAAATCTCTTTCATGTCTGGCTTTAACAGAAGATAGCTGGATTCTCGTACCTGCTTCTGCATTGTCTGTTGCAATAGCCCATGGTATGTAGCCCCTAGAAAATTCCACCATACACTTGTGAGAGCATACAGTGGGAAAGACAAACAGTATGTTAAACATTATCATGAAAAGCTTTTGACCTTGAAGACCCCTGAAAGGGCCCTGGGGACACCCAGGGCTCCTTGGTCCATGCCTGAGAGCCGCTCCTCTTCTTGTGAGCTCTGTGGTGGACGTCTGGGCCGAGGTCTGGTTCTGACTCTTCCATGGAGTCACGGGGGCAGCCTCGAGGTTTCTTCTGGTTCGGACCTTCAGAGAGCTCACTGTGAGTGACTTTTCTAGAGGTCAGCTGTCAACATCCCACCTTCATTCCTCGCTGCCTTCTAAAAGGAAAAGCCGAAGAACAGAAAGGAGGCCAGCCGAGGAAGAGAAAAGATGGACAAGAGAGGAAGGATTTAAGGCAAGTGGGAGGAACGGCAGGGGTGGCAGGGGTGCGGATGGAGCCTGGGAACAGAAGGGGTGGCAGCCAGGGGAGAGAGCGGCTGGGAGGAAAGGAGGCCACCGACCTTGAGAAGCCATGTAGAGAACCACAGGGCCAGCAACTGTGAAAAGGAAGAGAAAAGAAGACCCCCCAGAAGGTGGGGGAAGTGAGAGGGCCCTTGGAGGGGCAGAGGGAGACCGCCCTGGCCTGGGACCGGGCAGCCAGCAGCCTTCCCGGCTTTCTGAAGTTTCCCAGTTGTCCTTGAAAATGTGACGGGAAAGGGGAAGAGACACTGGCTCCCAGCGTTGGGGGCTGCAGCCCCACATGCCCCCGGGTCAGGCCTTCCCCATCCAACCCCAGCACCGCAACCCAGGGCCTTCAGTCTTTTCCTGGACCCCACCCTTTAGTGGAATCAGGCGCATCTGAGCCGGGCGTGATCCTAACACCCATACACCCCTAATGATCTTCCCTGGAAGTTTGATCTCTCTTCAGTCTCTCTCCCCGCTGGGCGCATTCCGACTTTGGGAGGCTGGGAGTGGGATGGGAGTCCCTGCCTACCACAGAGAAAAAGGAGTCTTGCCAAGGAAGCTGTGTGGCGGGGTGTCGGGGGAGCCTCAGGGCAGCCAAGGACAGGGCAAGGTCTGGTTGAATAACCAAGCACAGCAGTCAAGCTGCCCCCAGGAGCTGTCCGCCCGCCACCCCTCAGTCACTGGAGTGAACATTTTTCCTCTGCTCAACCATTCGTTCACTTTCCTCTTGATTCTTTCATCTGTCCAATCATTCAGCCAGCACAACCCACACCTCTGGTTCAAGATGGCAAACTGACCCCAGGCATTTATTTTTTCTCCCTCCTAAAATCCCAGGAAAATGACCGTCAAGCAACCAATCAAGCTGAAACTAGAGGAAGATGGATAGCAGGACTGCAAAACAGGAAGGGAGGCATCCAACAAAGGAGAGATGGTGAGGAATTTCCAGAAGGTATCAAAGTGACCGAGGTCAGAGTAGCATGGGGACCAATCAGAGCTGACAGGGCTGCAGGTAGAGGGCACACTCAGGAGGACAGGTAAGGGGTGGGGACAGGTCTCCCAAGCAACAAAGAGTCTAGTTTTTCAAACAGACCTCGAGAACACTCCCACTCTGGACATTGTGACGTATGAACAGAGCGGTCAGCTTTCTAGAAATGACCAGCCAGGTTGGCTCCTATGGGGGTTGGGGAGGGCTTTCCCAATAGGCTTCTGACGTGGACGTCAGGGTCAGGGCACGCAACAGGGAAGAGGGAATAAAGTGTTCCCAACAGCCATAAAGCACTCTCCCAGCCCCTGCTTCTGGAGCTTTGTACCCACTTCTTGCTGAAGAAGGGCCCGGTGGGGCTGACTGTCTCCTGAGTCCTGCCCTCCCCAACCCTGCTCTGCACCGAGGTTGACACTCTTACTTGCTGCATTAGTGTCCTAGGGCCTCCAGAACAGAGGACCACAAATGGAGGGTGGGGCTTGAACAGCAAACATTTATGTCCTCACAGTTCTGGAGGCTAGAAGTTTGAAATCAAGGTGTCAGCAGAGTTGTTTCTCCTGAGGCCTCTCTCTTTGGCTTGTAGGTGGCTGTCTTCTCCCCATGTCTTCACGTGGTCTTCCTTCTGTGTGTGTCAGTTTCCTAATCCCCTCTTATAAGGACAACACTCATACTGGATTAGGGTTCACCCCATGACCTCATTTAATTAATCACCTCTTTAAAGGCTCTATCTCCGAATGCAATCACATTCTGAGGTCCTGGGGATTAGGTCTCCAACGTGAACTCCAAGGGGGGACACAAATCAGCTCATAACAGTTGCCTCCCGACACCCAATTCGTCTTCCTGCTAGTAGAACCTTCATCATTCAGGAGGAGAGGAAGTGGCAATTATCCAACGAAACACTCAATTTCCCCGTTCCCCTCCCCAGCTCCCTTCAGCTAGGAGTGCTATATGACCAATGACAGGTAACTGAGCGATCTGAAGTGTGCCCCTGAATTTGGGCTCACCTGATGTTTCCTCATGTCGATGAAAATTCAATTAACTGGCAAGTTAAAAAGAAAAAGGGGAATTTTATTTGAGCCAAACTGAGGATTATAACCCGGGAAGCAGATTCTCAGAAGGCTCTGAGAGCTCTTCCGCCTGTTAATTAGAAGTCAAAGGCACAGTCATATACATTTTCGAGACAAAGGGTCATACATTGAAAGGACATACTGGTATTTTACTTAAAGTTCACCAAGGATACATAGTCCAGGTAAGCCTCGACAAAGCAAGCAGCAAGTCATCACGACCCCCTACAGCGCTGGGAGAGAAAGCTATTCTTTAAAAAGTGACATTGCTAGCATCAGAAGAAAGGGAAAAAAATTGATCTTTATGGTCAAGTAGGCACTCCCATCTTTGAGGAGCTCTGGTTAATATGTAATGCAGATGCACACCACACACGAAGGAGGGAGGGAGGGAGGAGGCCCAAATGAACACGCAGAGAGAGAATTTTATGTTTAATTTTTCTTGTCCTGCCTTAAAATATAAATTTTATTTCATCACTTGTGATTAGATTCAGGTCACGCATCTTCAGCAGGAATATCACAAAAGTGATGCTGTGTTGCCATGGTACCCCATCCGGATACGACTACTCATGCTATCCAGTTTGATTATTTGATTAAGATGGCGTCTGCCAGCCTTCTCCACTGTGAAGTTACTCTTTTTGTTTTGAAGTTAATAAATATTTTCTGGAGGAGGTATAGGCGTACCTTGGAGATATTGCAGGTTTGGCTTCAGACTACCACAATAAAGTAAATACCGAAATAAAGCAAGTCACACAAACGTTTTGGTTTCCCAGTGCATATAAAAGTTTTGTTTACACTATACTGTAGTCTACTAAGTGTGCGATAGCATTATGTCTTTAAAAATGTACATAACTTAATTTAAAAATACAAATTGGGCTTCCCTGGTGGTGCAGTGGTTGAGAATCCGCCTGCCAATGCAGGGGACACGGGTTCGATCCCTGGTCCAGGAAGATTTCCACATGCAGTGCAGCAACTAAGCCCGTGCGCCACAACTACTGAGCCTGCGTGCCACAGCTACTGAAGTCTGTGTGCCTAGAGCCCATGCTTCGCAACAAGAGAAGCCACCACGAGTAGCCCCTGCTCACTGCAACTAGAGAAAGCCCATGCTCAGCAATGAAGACCCAAGGTAGCCAAAAATAAATAAATAAGTAAATTTCTTTATAAAATAAAATAAAGATACAAAATGAAAAAACCCAATTAGAACAGTAACATCAAAGATCACTGATCACAGATCACCATAACAAATATAATAATAATGAAAAAGCTTGAAATGTTGAGAGAATTTCCAAGTGACACAAAGACACAAAGTGAGCAAATGTTGTAGGAAAAATGGTGCTAATAGACTTGCTGAATGCAGGGTTGCCACAAACCTTCAGTTTGTAAAAAACACAGTGTCGGGGACTTCCCTGGTGGTGCAGCGGCTAAGACTCCGTGCTCTCAATGCACGGGCCCGGGTTCGATCCCTGGTCAGGGAACTAGATCCCACATGCATGCCACAACTAAGAGTTCGCATACTGCAACTGAGGAGCCCACGTGCTGCAACTAAGACCTGGCGCAACCAAATAAATAACTAAATACATATTTTTAAAAGACAAACAAACGGGACCGCCCTGGTGGCGCAGTGGTTAAGAATCCGCCTGCCAATACAGGCGACACAGGTTCAAGCCCTGGTCCGGGAAGATTCCACATGCCACGGAGCAACTAAGCTCGTGCGCCACAGCTACTGAGCCCGCGTGCCACAACTACTGAAGCCCGCGTGCCTAGAGCCCATGCTCTGCAACAAGAGAAGCCACCGCAATGAGAAGCCCATGCACCGCGACGGAGAGTAGACCCTGCTTGCTGCAACCAGAGAAAGCCCACACGCAGCAACGAAGGCCCAACACAGCCAAAAATAAATAAATAAAATAATAAAAAAAAAACAGTATCTGTGAAGCACAATAAAGTGAAACGCAATTAAACAAGGTCTGCCTATAATTTGAAACTATGTAAAATCCCTTCCTCATCACACTTTCAGTGTAGTTATTTATATTAGTATGGATTCATGGTTTCCTATTTTTTTCTTTTTTTTTTTTTTGCGGTACACAGGCCTCTCATTGTTGTGGACTCTCCCGTTGCGGAGCACGGGCTCCGGACGCGCAGGCTCAGCGGCCATGGCTCACGGGCCCAGCCGCTCCGCGGCATGTGGGATCTTCCCGGACCGGGGCACGAACCCGCGTCCCGTGCATTGGCAGGCAGACTCTCAACCACTGCGCCACCAGGGAAGCCCCATGGTTTCCTATTTTATTCAATGGCTATCATTCATTATCATCACTATTTACCTGAATGCTCAAAATTTCTCAGATTTGGCCAGTTTTAACCTATTTTGGCTACTATAGCTTTACGGTGTGCTTAACATTTAATGTTTTTAAAGTTTTTAAATACTTGGCAGGGCAATTCTCCTCCCTGCCCCCCCAGCAACATTGTTATTGTTTTTCAGAATTGTCTTGGCTATTCTTGCAGATTTTCCCTTTCCATATTGAGTTTAGAATTGGATTTCTCAAATTATACAAAATTTTCAAATGAAATTTTGGTTAATATTATTTTGAATTTATAGAAGAAAGGAGGAAGAAAAATAAAATATTTTCCCTAGGAACATTAAATGTTTCTTCACTTTATGTAGCTTCTATTTTATGTCCTTTATTATGGTTTAACAATTCCATTCATACAGTGTACTTATTTCTTCTTAGGACTCTTCCTAGGCATTTCATGATTTTTGTTACAGCTGTGAACGGTATTCCCCCACACCAAACACACACAAACATTTTTAAATTAGTTATCACTGATTTATTGGACCACTGTTTATATATATGTACATCGTAATGGTTTCCTAGGCTGCCATAACAAAGTGTCACCAAAGGGGTGGCTTTAAGCGACAGAAATGTATCCTCTCACAGTTCTAGAGGACAGAAGTCTGGAATCAAGGTGTGGGCAGGCCGTACTTTCTCTGAAGGCGCTAGGGAAGAATCTTTCCTGTGTCTTCTCCAGTTGGGGCCTTTCTCTCCTGGCGTTGCCGGCACTCCTTGGTGTTCCTTCGTTTGTAGATCATCACTGCAGCCTCTATCTCTCACCCCACACGAACTTCGCCATGCGAGTCTGTGTCTCTCCTCTTCTTGAAGGACTCCAGTGCTGTTAGATGAAGCATCCACCATACTTCAGTGTGACCTCATCATAAATAATTACCTCTGCAACGATTCTATTTCCAAATAAGGGCAATATTCTGAGGTCCTGGGAAGGGGGGGATACTACCCAACTCAGTACATACATATTTCACAATTATTATTAAAAGCTTTCTCACAAATGGGATAGAAACTACTAATTATCCCACTCTTTTTATTCCTCCTTTTTTCAGAGTCTATAACCCATGATTTTTAGCAAGTTACATGGTCATCCAAAATAAAGGCCACATTTACCATACGCCTTTGCTGCTAGTTGTGGCCGAATGACTAAGTCCTGCTCAGTGGGATGTGAAAATAAATGCCGTATAGCAGCTTCTGGGACCCCTCCTAAGAGACAGCTGGTTTGGTCCTTTGACCTTTCTTCCCCTCTCCCCCCATCCAGCTACAGAACACAGATGTTATGATGGGGCTATATTTTGGGCCACAAGGACCAAGGTCCAGCACATCCTGAGGATGACAGCAGAAGGCTGGAATCAGCCCAGGCCCTGAATGGCTGTGGGCCCATTTTCTGAGCTCTGCAGCTTCTATCTGGACTTCTCTGTTTGAGATAAGCATCCAGGGCTGCCATATTGCACAAGCCCAGGGAGTGCTGTTCACAGGGCAGAGGACATGAACGGAAGACTCTGGAGTTGTGAGGTGAACAAACTGCATGGCCATCCTCAGAGGCCCTGCTTCTGTCTGGTTTAAGCCCCTGGTTGGATTTCAGTTACTTCCAGGCAATCTTAATTTTAATAAATTTTTGATAGTTTCTTTAATATCCAGGTGTGTTTTGTGCTTGCAGGGGAATACTCATTAGTATTGGTACTTTGTTTATTACACAATTTGTAAAAATAATATAGCTCTGAAAATCAGTTTTCCTCAAGCATTTAAACATAATTATTAATGTGACTAGCTACAGTCCCTTAAAACTTAAATGGCAATTACAGATCTAATATGATTGATTTTTTGAACCCTTCAGATGTCTTAAATAACAAGCCAAACATTCACAGATAAAATATTTCAGAACAATCAAGGTTGTAGGATCTGAATCATGTAACGGTTGACTCTTTATTGAGATGCACAAACTAAGGAGATTTAAACTGAAATCTTTGAGTGTTAGGCCAAGTCTTTTTTAACAATAATAAATATTTATTTATGGCATCAGAAACTGTTAAGTTTCTCTTTGTCATAGAGATTTTTTTTAAACTTTTTATCCATTTAATTAATTAATTTATTTATTTATTTATGCCACGGCACACAGCTTGTGAGATCTTAGTTCCCCTGACAGTGATGGGGCTGAGTCCTAACCACTGGACTGCCAGGGAATTCCTTTTTTTTTTTTTTAAGATTTATTTACCTATTTATTTGGTTGCATCAGGTCTTGGTTGCAGCAGGCGGGGTCCTTAGTTGTGGCATTCGAATTCTTAGTTGTGGCATGCACGTGGGATCTAGTTCCCTGACCAGGGAGCGAACCCAGGCCCCCTGCGTTGGGAGCGCGGAGTCTTAACCACTGCACCACCAGGGAAGTCCCCGTCATACAGATTTTAATTTCTGACACTTTGTATCTTTTCCAGAATTTATGCATGTTCTAAGTTTGCATGGCAATTTGGGATCCCTTGAAATTCCATATGAACTTTTAGGATGTTTTTTCCTATTTCTGCAAAAAATGACTTTGAGATTTTGAAGTGATCACATTGAATCTGTAGATCATTTTGGGTAGTATGGACGTTTTAACAATATTAACTTTTCGAATCCATGAACATGAGATGTCTTTCCACTTGTCCGTGTCTTCTTTAATTTTTTTCAGCAGTGTTTTGTAGTTGTCCATGTAGCGGTCTTTGGTTTTCTTGGTTAACTCCTAAGTATTTTATCCTTTTTGATTCTATTGTGAATGGGATTGCTTTCTTAATTTCCTTCTCGGATTTTAATTATTGGTGTAAATAAATGCAACTGATTTTTGTATGTTGATTGGATTTAATACTTTTTATTGCTTTTTTAAGTGTAATATTTCCCCCTTTTCCATTTTTAGGTAATTGTTGTTAATATAGAGAAAAAGCTTTTATACATTAATTCTGACTTCAGCCCTCTTGTTTACCCTGCGTCTTTTCTCTTTTTTGTTTCCCTTTCAAATTCAAGTGTACAAAATGATTTTTATAGAAAAGCAATGAATATTATTATAATGGCAAAATATTAAAATCATTTCAGTTAAATTGGGACCATGTCACCATTTACTCCTCATTGTCTTGGAGTTCTAAGGAATGGAATAAGACAAGGAAATTCCAGAAATTGTGTAAACACTGGAAAAGAAGATACAAACTTTCTCCTGTTATTGTTGATTATTTTATACCTTCCAAACCCGAAGAGGCCCGCGTACCGGAAAAAAAAAAAAAAAAGGTTACTTTCCATTTACAGTTATTACAAAGTATTGGCTCTATTCCCTGTGTTGTACAATACATCCTGGAGCCTATCTTACACCTCCCACTCCCCCACCCCTATATTGCCCCCCCCCCCTTCCCTCTCCCCCCTGGTAACCCCTAGTTTTTTTCTATAACTTTGGGTTTCCTTTTTTTTTTTTTTTTGCGGTACGCGGGCCTCTCACTGTTGTGGCCTCTCCCGTTGCGGAGCACAGGCTCCGGACGCGCAGGCTCAGCGGCCATGGCTCACGGGCCCAGCCGCTCCACGGCACGTGGGATCTTCCCGGACCGGGGCACGAACCCGTGTCCCCTGCATCGGCAGGCGGACTTTCAACTACTGTGCCACCAGGGAAGCCCTCTTTTTTGTTTTATTCACTGGTTTGTTGTATTTTTTACATTCCACATATAAGTGATATCATACAGTATTTGTTTTGTCTCACTTATTTCACTTAGCATAATGTCCTCTAAGTCCATCCATGTTGCTGCAAAAGACAAAATTTTGTTCCTTTTTAGGGCTGAGTCATATTCCTTCGTATATATGTACCACATCTTCTTTATCCATTCATCTGTTGATGGACACTTAGGTTGCTTCCATATCTTGGCAATTGTAAATAACGCTACTATGAACATTGGAATGCACGTATCTTTTCAAATCAGTGTTCTTGTTTTCCCAGATAAATACCCAGGAGTGGTATTGCTGGGTCATATGATAGTTCTATTTTTAGTTTTTCGGGAAACTTCCGTGCTCTTTTCCACAGTGGCTGCACGAATTCCCACCAACAGGGTAGAAGGGTTCCCTTTTCTCCACACCCTCGCTAACGTTTGTTATTTGTGTTTTTTGATACTAGCCATTCTGACAGGTGTGAGGTGATATCTCATTGTGGTTTTGATTTTCATTTCCCTGATGATTAGCGATGTTGAGCATCTTTTCATGTGCCTGTTGGCCATCTGCAGTTCCTCTTCGGAAAAATGTCTATTCAGTTTTTTTGTCCATTTTTATTTTATTTTTTTATAAAATTTTTTAATGTATTTCTGGTTGTGTTGGGTCTTTGTTGCTGCGCAGGCTTTCCCTAGTTGCCGCCAGCAGGGGATACTGTTTGTTGCAGTGCGCGTGCTTCTCATTTTGGTGGCTTCTCTTGCTGCAGAGCACGGGCTCTAGGCACGTGGGCTTTAGTAGTCGCTGCATGCGGGCTTTCTCTGGTTGTGGCGAGCGGGGGCTACTCTTCGTTGTGGTGTGCGGGCTTCTCACTGCAGTGGCTTCTCTTATTGCAGAGCACAGACTCAAGGTGTGTGGGCTTCATTAGTTATGGCACGCAGGCTCAGTAGTTGTGGCTCACGGGCTCTAGAGCACAGGCTCAGTAGTTGTGGTGCACGGGCTTAGTTGCTCCACGGCATGTGGGACCTTCCCGGACCAGGGCTTGAACCTGTGTCCCCTGCATTGGCAGGTGGATTTTTAACCACTGCGCCACCAGAGATGTCCCTATACTAGGAATTCTTAGGTAAATTTTTCCTTAGTGCTGTAGTATGAAAGTTCTTTATACTCATCTTTTTATGAAGGAAAAACCTGATTCTCCTTTCAGAAAGTAACCCAAGTTTTACAGACTTTCAAATTATTTTTATTTTTTCAATTATAAAAATATTTACCCACTTAGAAAAGAAAGGAAAAAAGAAGAATGAAAGAGGAAAGAAAGGTCTGTGGACTTGGGCGAGGGTCAGGGGTGACCGTGGAGCTACTTGCTCCTAAGAGCCAGCAGTTTATGAAGCAGTGAGATGCCCCAGGGCCTGTCATCTTGAGTCACTTCTTAACGATGAAGGGGATGGGGATCCAAGTCTCAAGTCTCTGAAGGAATCCTCTAAATTATTCCAATTCGAGGGCTATTGAGAGAGAAATGAGAAAGCTTCGGTTGGCAGGAAACTGAGGGAGGAAGGGGAACAGAGGCGAGGCTGAAAATGCCGGGACAAGAAAAGAACTGGATCAAGGCAGGCCAGGGATGCCTTAAGAGAAACAGAAAGCTAACAAGAGTCTATGAAGAGGGGCTTCCCTGATGGTGCAGAGGTTGAGAATCCTCCTGCCAATGCAGGGGACACGGGTGTGAGCCCTGGTCCGGGACAATCCCACATGCCATGGAGCAACTAAGCCCGTGTGCCACAACTACTGAGCCTGCGCTCTAGAGCCTGTGAGCCACAACTACTGAGCCCGCGCGCCGAGAGCCCATGCTCCGCAACAAGAGAAGCCACCGCAATGAGAAGCCCGCGCACCGCAACAAAGAGTAGCCCCTGTTTGCCACAACTAGAGAAAGCCCGCGCGCAGCAACAAAGACCCAACGCAGCCAAAAATAAATAAGTATAATAAAGTGTATTAAAAAAAAAGTCTATGAAGAGAGAGAGAACGAAGGAACTGGGAGCCCCTGGAAGAGGGGACCTAAAGGGGGTGTCATGAGAAAAGAGAAAGCAGTGGGGGGCAGTGGGGAGAGAGCAAGGAGAGGATTGACAGACAGAAGTGGGGCTGAAGCTGGGAAGGGGGTCGGCGGGGCGTGGAGAGGCCAGGGGCCTGCAGCGGGGAGAGCTTCTCACCGACAGGATCCTCTGGAGCCGACGGCTTATGCTTTCACTGTATTGTTCCAGCTTATCCCAGGACTCGAAGGGCATCCCCTGGTTATCCACAAACTCTTCCCAGCAGTCTTCAAACTCTGAGATGAGAGAGGGAAACTGAGTCAGGCCCCAAGGGCAGGGGAGCAGCAAGCTTGCACCAGCAGGGCCACCGTCCCTCCTTCCTTTCCCCTTCCTTCTCTTCCTCTCCCTGGAATTAGTCTGTCCCTGGAATTTCCCCTTCAGGTGGTATCACACCTTGGGTCTCAGCTGGGCCGCCATCCTTCCTTTCCAGCCTCCCCTCTCCCCCACTCCCACTCAGTGGCTTTCGCTCTTGGAACCGCAGATCCTCCCGTCCACCGACAGCTCTGTCTCTCTTCCTACCTGAGCGGGTCATGACAGCCACTGAGACCTGGGCTGCCTGTAGCTGCTGCAGCCCCCTCTGAAACACCCTGACCCAGTGGAAGTACAGGCGGGAGGCAAAGATCTGCAGGCTCAGGTTGTCCTGACCGTTGATGAAATCAACCAGTTCCCCGGCACAGGCAGGGCAGGGACTCCACGTGACATAGCAGATAATTCTGTAGCGCTGGTTTGGGTCGAGATTCAGCGAGGTGATCTTGTCAATAAAGCGAGTTTCTGCATGTCGCTGTTTCTGGAGAGGTTCTCAGAGAGACGGAAGGGTTGGTTAGAAGGCAGAGGCCAGAGGTCACACACCGAGGGTGAAGCTCGGGACGAGGGCCTCTGTCCTGTGAACTTTCCAGTATGTGAACTGCCTATAGCACAAGGAAAGAACCTCCTTCTTTCCTTCAATTATTCATTCCTTCACTCACTCACTCATCCATTAATTCCACACTCCCCAAGCACCTGTAACTTCATTGGAATCAGATCAGGGTCCCAATGGCCAGAGGAGACGGGTTGTAGAACAGACACCCCCAGGGCACAGTCCTGAATACTCTGTGACCTGGCTTTTGGACATGTCCAGGAGGTTGTCCGGAGATGTTTGAACCTGAGGGTACCAGGGAGGTCAGGGAGGGAGGGAGAGGGGACGGGACAGGTAGGAAGATGGCAGAAAGGCAGAAGTGTGATGGAGATCTTGTAGGTGAGGTTAGGTGCTCAGTCCTTGGAAGAGCGCTTGGCTTCCCCGAAGTGGTGACCGAGCTGAGATCTGGAGGATGAGGAAACATCAACTTCTCAAAGAGGGGTTAGGAGGTACATTCTGCTGGCGGGAAGGGCTTGTGTGGTGGCCCGCGGATGGGAAAGAATGTGGAGAGCTCCAGGGAAGTGGGGTCACTCAGATTCTGCTAAGCCTCAGGATTTTCCCTGCCTGGTGCGGTTGCCCCTGCTTGCCCTGTGCCCAGGGAACCCACTTGGCACCTTGTTTTGGAAGCAGCCTTTGTCAAGCGTGAAGCCATCGAGCTGCTTCAGCTGGTAGCACAAATAGGTCTTCCTCCGGTAGCAGGGCTGTGGGACCCGGGGCTGGTTGCCAAACTGTTGTCTGAATATATTTGTTTTTAGCAGATTCATTGTGTTTCTGTGCAACAGGAAGGAGAAAACCAAAGATGCAGAGTGTTTTCTGGTGTCACCCAAGGCTCTGTCACATTCTGAACCCAGTTCCTTGGGTTCACCTAGGCCCCTAAGGGGAGGTAAGGGAGGGTCTCTTCCTTCTTTGTTGGCCAGGAGTACTGGGAGGGAGAGGGAAGAGGGCGAGCTCTCCCCCCTCACACATCACCACCCCTCCAGCCTATGCTAGAGGCCATTGCAGGCAGGACTCCTGGGCTGAGTGGGGGTGCCCCCACCCCGAGAATTGGACACGGCATGTCCTTCCTCGTCTCTCACATCTTTGTCTTGAGCCCCAGACCCCTCTGTTAAGGTCCCACAAGCACCTCAACCCTGTACCTAATGTCAGGACCCTTCTCTTTGGGGAGTGGGGAGGGGGATGGAAGTTAAAGAGCTTCCTTTAACACTGTGCTCTTGGCCGAGGTGTGTGTATCATAATTTTGTCTGTACAAAGAGCACAGAGGCATGTGAACAGGAAAAACTGTTGTCACCAAGGTAGTGTTGTGACAGAGCCTTTTGGCTGAAGGGCTCACATAGCTTTTTCTCCCCCTAATTATGACTGTACTCTATACAGTATTCCATTTTGTATCTTGCTTTTTTTTCATTTAATGTTATACTGCAAAGTGGCCCAGCCCATGTGGGGATGCAGAACCACCAGGTTCTTTTCAATAAGTGCTGTTGGCTCTGCACGGACAGCAGTAGGTGGATGTAACCAGGAGCCTTCCTGCCGGGCCCCAGAGAGGCGCATGAAGGCACCCTCTGGCCGGAGCCGCACTGCACGTGGACACCCATGACCAAGCAGATGCCAGTCAGAACGAGCTTGGGAGGCTTGATGGCCCCAGCCCATTGCCCTCCTGGACACTCCACCCAAGGTAACGTCACTTGGTTGACCACCGAGTCAGACTCAGATGACCTCAGAGCCTCAGAATTGGCATCTGGACACAGGAATCAAGCCAAGGGTGCCCTCACGGCCCAGACCACGGGACACAATACTTTGTTCCTGCAAGGCCAGAGGAGTCTCGCCATATTTCCAGCCAACTCATTGAAACACCACCAGTTCCACCAATGAAAAACCATTTCTGATATGTTATGCTAATTAACAAAGCCACAAACGTCATCAGTGGAAACCTATCTCTGACGTCCCTTGTGTTAATTAGTAAAACTTTAGATGGATTTGGGTAACGATTGCTGAAGAGGCCATCTCTGGACTGTGGCCTTCGATTACTGGCCAATGACCTCGCCTGAAGTTCATACTCCCCATGAGGGCAACTGGCCACCCTCAGGGTAAGGATTAGAAGGGAAACCCCATTCATAGCACACCTGAGACAACCACTGCCCCGTTTGCCCGGAGTCTTCCTGATTTTAGCCCTGAAGTTCCCATGTTCTGAGAAACTCCCCAGTCCTGGGGAAAGCCAGACACTCAAGGCTGAGATATTTCACATTTGAGACAAGAGGACTTATCTTCATAGCACAAATGTTGCACCTTGCCCCTGAATAGCTAAAACTGTAGGTACGATAGAAACAACTTGTAAGAAGTACTTAAAGACCAATTGAATTTTTTATACTTGGTAGTGTCTTCATGGGAAACGAGTTATCTTCTTGTCTTGGAGAGTTTTCCCTCCACAGAGGAGAAATGAGAATATTCTCTGCAAAATTGTGCCTTTAACATAAAATTTACAAAAACGCTTTTATAGCTGACTCCAAACATTGTTTCACTCATCCTTGAACCTAAAGTCTAGGACTGAGGGTGCACAGAGAGCTTTAGGAAGACCCAGTGGCCATGCCTATGGGATATGGCCAGGGACACAGAGAGACAGGCTGTGGCAGAGGTAGGGCTGGGAGGCCCGAGGCAAGAGAAGGAACCAGAGAGGGAGAGAACCCAGGGCTGGGCGCGGAGCCCGAGGCAGCGAGGAGGACCAGCAGCCCCACCTGGCCCCTGCAGCCGGGCCCCAGCCTCCTTGGCAGACATGTCCCAGCTTGCCCTGGGCACTGCGATCTCTGGTTCCACCTGCCTCTCACAAGGCTGCGCTTGGCCTTGGGAAAGTCCCTTATCTGAGAGCGTTCCCCTACAGCTCTCGGAGCGGTAGATGCCCTTCCTGTCTGGGTAAGAGGAGGTGGGAGGCCCAGGGTGGTTTTTGTCTCTCAGACCCATCCTCTTTCCTCCTCCTGGGCTCTGGACTTACCTGATCCCAGGAGTCCAGATGCAGTCTCCTGGCCTAGGAAGGCTTGTCCAAGCCCAGCCCTTTGTCATAGGCACTCTGCCTCGATTTCCTCTCCCAGGACCCTTTTTTTAGGACAGCCCCCTATCTGAGAGCGACCTCCCAGGCCGTCTCAGCCGAGGCTCCACCTCCTTCCTGCTTTGGCACCAGGGGTGGGAGGACCCTGGGGTGGTTTGCTTCCTTAGGCTCCGACCCACCTTCTCTTGGGCCCTCCCTCTTGGCAGAGGTCGGTCTCTGATGCAGCTGGACCCCTCTGTGCAGCAGGACCCGAGGTTATTGCAAAGGGAAAGAGAAAGTAAAGATGCCAGAGAGAGGGGGATGGGACAGACCCTGGCGGAAGAGAGCAGGACAAAGGCCTGCCCCCACTGGGGGAGGGGTAGGCTGGAGACCTCTCCAACCTACTCCTACTTGGCACTTAGCTTTTATTCAGTACCCTGACAAGACTCTGGGTGGACGGAAAATGAGGGCTGGGGGTCAGTACTCCAGATCTTCATCTCCAGCCCTGTGTTGAGCAGATCCTGTGCACCATCTGCTACCCCCAGCTCCCCAGTAGCATCAAGCGGGGAGGAGCATTATCCTGACATTTTAGATGTGGTCCCAGCACAGAGAGGTTAAGACACTCTCTTGAGGTCACACAGCAAATAAATGGCAGAACTGGAAAGCTGTCCAGGAAGCCTAGCCTGGTTCCCTCCCCTTGCTTCCTCATTGTTCCATGAAAAGGAGCGGGGGAGGGAGCACAAGAGAAGGGGTAAGCTATCTGCTTACTTTGTCACGTGGCCACCAAGACCTCCAGATGAGAAAACAGCTCTGGGGAAAGTTGAAACCTAGCGAGGAGGTCTTAGAGCAGTCATGGCCACCTCCAGTCCAAACTGCACACAAATGTGATTCCCAAATTAACTTTTCCCAGCTTGTCATCCCACTGCTCCCCCCTGCCCGCCCTGCACACACCACCTTCTGCCCCACAGGCCCTGGTACGGCCTCGGGGGTAACAAGAGCTTGGGCAGGAGGTTAGAGTATCCACAGGAATGGTGTCCCCTTCACCCCCATCTGTCCTAATGCCCAGGGCCACAGCCAACAAAAGATTCTAGAATGAGCTGGATCCTTCTGGGAAGAGTGACCAGATTTTTTTTTTTTTTTTTTGCCACAGCACGTGGCACGTGGAGCTTGCCCAACCGGGGATTGAACCTGTGCCCCCTGCACTGGAAGCATGGAGTCTTAACCACTGGACCACCAGGGAAATCCAAAGAGTGATCAGATTTGTACACTGAAGTGTTGGTCAAACTCAGAGAGCTAAGTCACCCCTGGCCTGAGAGGCAGGAAAGATGGACAAGAAGGTTGAAACCCTTTGCTGGCCTTTCCCTAGTGACAGCAATCCTACAGCCCCGGCTTGGAGATTCCTGTGAGCCACCTGAGATGGGCCAAAATGCAGGTGTGCCAGGAGAGGGACATTTTAAGCTGGCCACTGTGGCCCGTTTTAATGCCCAAGACAAGCAGGAGGTATGCCATCCCCAACCATGTCCCTCTGTGCCTCCCTCCTTGAAGGAAACACCGACAGGGAGAGCATCAAGGCAGAAGAGCCGAAGCAACCAGAGACAGCCTGGATTCTGCCCAAGACCCCCAGGCAGCAGTGCAAACAGGAAGGGAGAGTAAAGTGTCTGCTGCTACTGACAATTCCCACCCAGACGGCCAAGATCAGCGGGACCCCAGACCTTCTCCACAAGGACTTTAAGGACAGATTCCAAACCAACAGCTTCCCACTTGCTGTTCCTTCCTCTGCATCTGCCTGCCCAGAATCCCACCTCACCAGGCTCTTACTCCCTTTTGGCCCTGCCACAATCCCGGCCACCCTTTCTGGAACCTCCACTGAGTTCCTCCCCGGTGCGTTCAGGCGGCAACTGGCTCTGTGGACAAAAGGGCCAGACGCTCGCTTCCTGATCTACCTTGAGCAACTGAGCTGTGGCCTCTGACCTGACTCTTAGCAGCCCTTCCACTTTCTATTCTGCTTTTTGAAAAAGCTCCAGCAATCTCAATCCTCACATCCCCAATCCTACTTCTTGTTTCTAAAAACGTATTTAAATGTAAACGTAAGCATTCTTTTTTTCCTTTTGCTCATTCTCCGTCACCACCCCCGGAGCTTCGCCTCTGGCAGCAATCTGGGAATGGGATGAGGGATGAGCAGAGTGAGGACAGGGTGTGATGATGACAAAGTGAAGGCGGGGTGGCGGTGGGGTTCTAGGGACACCAAGGTCTGGAATGGAAGCAGAGGAGTCAGGGTCAAGGGGGCATAACCCGGAGAGAGACACACAGGACAAGGATCCTGCTCTCACTGCGCCTGCTCAGCTCAAAAAAGCCTTTGGTCATCGTATGGGCTGAACCGTGTCCCTGCAAATCCATATGCTGAAATCCCAACCTCCAGTTTCTCAGAACGTGACTATACTTGAGATAGGGCCTTTAAAGAGGTGATTGTGTTAAGAGGAAGCTCTTAGGGTGATCCTTAGTCCAATCTGCCTGATGTCCTTATGAGAAGAGGAAACTGGGACACACAGAGGGACACCTGGGGATCCCCAGGGGTCATGCACAGAAGAAAGACCATCTGAGGATAGAGAGAGAAGGCAGCTGTCTGCAGCCAAGGAGGAAGGGTGCAGGAGAAGCCCAACCTACCGACTCCTTGATCTAGGACTTCTAGCCTCCACATCGGTGAGAAAGTAAAATACCTGTTGTTAAGTCGCCCAGTCTGTGGCGTAAGTCGCCCAGTCTGTGGCGTTTTGTTGCGGATATCCTAGCGAACGGGTACCATCATTCCCATCAAGGAGCCTCGTTCTCTGATAAGTCAAGTCTGTCTTCAAGGATGTTTTCCAAATCTCATTTTCACACTTATACATATTCATGCCCATTTATGTTCAGTTCAATAACAAGGTTTGGTCAATGTGTGAGATGGGAGGAGGTGGGGCTCCCTCGCTGGGGGAGAGGGAGATCTCACGGGGGGGGGGGGGGGGGAGACGCTGGGGGAAGAAAGGAGAGAGGAGCTGAGGGAGGGCAGGGGCAGCCCAAGGGCAGTGGCCCTCTGGGGCCAGGGAGGAGAGGAGGCTGAGGAGGGAGGTGGAAGGTACTCGGAGATAAGGAGGAGGTGTGGGGAGGAAGGCTAAGGAAGCCCTCACCCGAGAATTTCATGAAGCTTTGCCACCAGGAACTGATAATTTTTACGCAGTTTCTTCCAAGGCTTGAAGGGCATTCCCTGATTGTACACAAAGTTTTTCCAACAGTATTTAAAGTCTGAGATAAAGAGGAGAGAAAGCCATCAGGTCCGGGCCCTGGGAGGCCCTTCTCTGCTGACCATCCTGTGCCCTGCCCCCTCCTGCCCACTCCCTGCCGTGTGCCCTCAGTCCTGCCTCGTTTCCCAGGTTCTCCGCCCGCTCACCCTTCCTGGCGGGTATTCTAGGTCCGCCCCCATCCCTCCCACCGCCCCGCCCTCCAGCCCCCAGCCCCCTCTGCTCTCACCTCGGAAGGACATGATGCGCACCCAGGCCCTCTGGTGGCGCAGCATGCGCAGCCCGTGCTGGTAATCTGGTTTCCAGAAGTAGTAGAGGCGGGCGGCGAAGATGCTCAGCCTCACGTTCCTGTTCTCCTTCAGGAACGCAACCACCTGCTCTGCACATGACAAGCAGGGGCTCCAGGATAAGAACCAGGTGATGTGGTACTGCTCGTAAGAGGACAGCTTCTTAGCGCGAAACCAAGAGAGGAAGCAGAGTTCCGCATGGCAGGAATAGACCTGGGAGAGATGGAGGCGGAAAGGGGGCGTTTTTGGCCGCCAGAGCAGGCAGTGAGGCTGGGCTAGGGAGCTGGGGAGGAGGGGTAAGGGGGGTGGGCATCCCAGAGGCAGGTTGTTCAGGAGTTATCCCTTCTTTCCATCTCTCCCCTCCCTTTTCTTCTTTAGTCATCGACTTCCCTCATTCATCGACTCACCCATTCATTCTAACATCCATCCTCCCATTCATTCATTCTACAAGTAACCTGAGTGCCTGCTTTGGTCCAGGCCCTGTGGGGTCCAGGCTCGGTCCCTAGGTGCTGTCTGCTGGGAGGCCCACAGAGCTTCCCTGTCCGTTGGCAGAAACACCAGCCACACGTGTCTACAGAGCACTTGAGGTGCGGCTCGTCTGAAGGGAGGTGTGTGGCAAGTGTAAAAATACACAGTTCATTTCAGTGACTTCGTATGAAGAAAAAAGAATGTAAACTATCTCATGAGGTTTATATTAGTTATATATTAGAAAATACATCTAATTGAGATAATAGATTAGGTATACAGTCAGTCCTCTGTATATGAGAGTTGCTTATCTGCAGATTCAACCTATTGAAATTATTCAGGAAAAAAAAAATTCCAGAAAGTTCCAAAACGCAAAACTTGAATTTGCCAGGCTGGCAACTACTTACATAACATCCACATTGTATTTACAACTATTTACATAGCATTTACATTGTATCAGGTATTATAAGTAAACTAGAGATGATCTAAGGTCTATGGGAGGATGTGGGTAGGTTATATACAAATGCTATGCCATCTTACGTGAGGGATTTAGCATCTTCAGATTTTGGTGTTCGTGGGGGTCCAGGAACCAACCTCCCCACCCCCATATCTAGGGATGACTGTGTTGTCTAACACAGCGTCAATATTAATTTCATCAGTTTCTCTTAACTTTTTGAACACTGGGTAGTAGAAAGAGTGAGATGACACCTGTGACTCAGATTAGGTTTTGATGGGATAATACCGCTACAGTGCACACCCCCTCCCCGCCCCTTCCGCACACAGGTTCTGAAAAGGCTGCCCTCTGGGTGGAGGAGGGCAGGCGGGTGGGGGGACATTTCGCCAAGCCCGATGACAAACTCAGAGACCCCCCACCAGCAGACTCGCTAAACAAGGCTTTGTGGGATTAAGTCAACCACTATCACGTATCCGGTTCCCGGACTTAAGAAAATGTGTGGGAAGATGCATCCGCCACTGAGAACCCCCAAAAGGCGTTGGACTTATTACCATTTTTTCCACGTCCTCTACTGGCTTATGTGAACCTGTGTAACACCTCTGACATGAGGGACACCATTTGGGGGCTAAAATTTCATCCCATTTTTGAAACAGGCACCAGATTTGAACTATTACACTGGGCAAGGGCATAGGACAGAGCCTGTCACTGCTATATCCGCATTCTTTTTTATTGGGTTGGGGCGGGGCTGGGTGCGGGCGAAATGCGGGATCTTAGTTCCCAGCGCCCCCTACATTGGGAGCACCCAGTCTTAACCACTGGACCGCCAAGGAAGTCCCCATATCCGCATTCTTGATTAAAAACTGGACACACTGCAAAAGGGATTTTCCTAGTATCTGACATAATATACTCTGAAAACCAATGAATTGCAATTGTAATTATATCCCCCAATCATAATATTGGGAAAACAACTTGTGCAAGCATCCTAAACCTTCCGCAATTTGCCGATACCCGCCCCCGCCCCCGCCCCCGCCCCCGCCCCCGCCCGGCTTTTTTCCCTGTGGCGGGACACAGCACAGGCTGCTCCTGAATCTGTGCTCCCCGCATTGCAATTCTAAGGCACCAAATAAATGCTTTTGTGTCTCTCGGCTGCGCCTCTTTTCTGGGTCAACACTTAGCTCCCGCCTGCGATGAGAGTGTCCTGGGGCCCATACCCAGTTTTGAAAGACACCCCAGTCGGAGGAGTCAGGTGAGCAGTGCTTCAGTCTTTCCACCTGGTAGCAGAGGTAGGTGTAGTTCCGCCCACTGGCAAATCTCAGGTTGCAAAAGTGGAAGGAGAAGGTTTGGCGATCTAACCACTCCACTGGGTGTCTGGGGCAAAAGAGAGAAAAGGGAAAATGCAGAGAGCGCCCGCTGGAGTTACTCCCGGCTGGTCTCTCCAGAGCGTAGCCCCCTGGACGCCCTAGGCGCTGGGCCTCCCAGCAACCCGCCTGGGCCTTGAGAATTTCCTGCGCCTTTCCAGGCAGGAAGGCTGGGGGAGAGGGAGAGGAGAGGGTGCTGGGACAGCAGGGATGGGTGATGTTCTCCCACAGGGGCCCTGGCTCTGCTACTTCCAATAGCACATCCCGCCACCTCCACTCCGGTTTTCCTGCCCACCCACCCCCCAAATCATTAGAAAAATAAAAAAGAGTAACGAAAACCTCTCCACTCCAAAATCAGAGCCTTTAACATTTCAGTTCAATTCCTTCCTGACTTTTCACTTGCGCGTGTTTGTTTTGTGTTTTAATGTCGGATGAACACCTAAATTCACAGGCTTGGGCTATGGTTACAAGTGCTTTCTGTATCTGAACTCAAATGCTGCGGCAGCCATGCCCATTTTATAGAGGAGGAAGCGGGGATGCAGAGGGGGACAAGTAGTCTGCCTAAGTCACAGAGCTGTAAGTGATAGAGCTGGGTCCCCTGACCAGGCCAGGCCATTTCCAGCTCTTCCATTATGTGACCTTGCAGCTGTGTGAAGTCTTGGGTGTGGCTTTCTTTTCTACTTAATTTTAAAATAGGAGCGTTTCTCCTGATCTTTCCTCCAGTTCCATTAGAGCTGTTAGTGGTACAGTTATAAACGTGAAGCGTGGTCACCTAGGGTATGGCCAGGTTTGTGAACAGTGTGCATTTATTTTCCTGCTCAGAGTTGAGATATCCTTGGAAGAGATGATTTATCTTCTTGCCTCAGAGAGCTATTCTCACACTGTGTTTACGATGGTGTAAATACTACAGAAAACTGATCAGAGCGCTTTAAAAAGTCACCAGCTGCGTCAATCATCCTTTCGCCAAATTCTAAGCGTTAACAGAGCACAGATACTTCCGACCAATAGAGGGTGCAGCCCTGCACAGGCAGGGAGGGGACGGCCTAGCCCGACAGACTTTCAGACTGAGAGCTGGGCCACGAAGACCCTCAGAGCTGGGTGGAGGTTTGGGAGGGGCCAGTTCAGAAACAATAGTGGGGGCACCCCCAGAGCAGGGCAAAGACCCCAGATGGGAGTGGGCCCTGCAGAGAAGGAGCCCAAAGAGGGAAAGGAACAAGGCTGGGACTGCAGGGACTGCGCGGGGGGGGGGGGGGGGGGGGGGGGCAGGGGACAGGGAGGGGGGGCCAGACCGGAGGGGGGGGGGGGGGGGGGCACGGCGGGCGAC